AAAACAAGTTGAATTGGTTTGGGGCTTTAGAGATCCGTTTTTTTTAAGAAAAACAAGTTGAATTGGTTTGGGGCTTTAGAGAACCGTGTATGGCTCTGGTACCATGATGTTTGGAATAAGAAAGAATTCACTTGTCATTTCTACATAAGGAGGTATAAATAGGATACATGGGAATAAATTAACTCCTAAAAACTAGCCTATAAAAAATACTATAATTGATACAATCACTTTAATGATACTACTCCATGAATAAGACCTCTAATTAAGCAATTAGAATCTTTACAGATAAACATAAACATATATCTCTACATATTTAAATTTGAAATTCAACATGGATAATAACTCCTTTAAACCAGAACGAGTTGCGAGTTGCGAATTTTGAAAAGAACGAACTTGAAGAATAACGAATTGTGAACTTGAAAATAGTATTAGAGCATGCTAATACATGTAATAGATGGAAATATTACTGCTAATTATAGGTAGGGGAACATTACTGTATAATAAGATATAAAGTTGAATTGGAAGCAATTAACATGCTTTGTTAATATAAAAAAGAGACAATTTAGTAAGAAACTATTAATTAAGGATAACTTTGTCCAAAAATGTTAAGAAGGTTATTCACATAATCTATATATATATATATATATATTTATATATATAAGGAATTACCATTTATCAAGAATAGTAAGTTAATCATTAGTCAAAACTAGTCAGCATTAATTACATGTCATTTATAGTATCTTTTTAGTATTTTTTTAAATGTTGTCCTTAAAACAATGAGTTTGTTACTTTTTTATTTTTAAAAATGTTGGGTTGCTATTTAAATTTAGTTTATTGAATAATTGTGATGGTTTGACATGATTTGCATATCAAAAGCTGATAATACACGGATTGCATCAATTAAATTTGGTTATGAGTTACAAAAAGCTATTTTTAACTTTGAATATAAATGTCCGTCACGACTGCTAATTCAATTAAACATCGGGCAATTATATTCTCCAAATTTAAAACCAGCTTAATACAATTGTTTTGTTTACATCTTTTTCATAATAAAAAAGTTATAATTGATTTAATAATAAAAAAAAGTTACGTGCTATTTTTTCTAACCATGAAAATATACTTTTGTATTTTAAAAATATTGGAAACTTTTTTTTCTATATAATCGGCTAATAGCCTAATACATATGTTTTGATTAGCAGGTTTTATTTAACAAAACAAATTACGGCTGATTAAGGGTAAAAATATTTTAAAAAAAATCATTTGTTTATTTGTATTGAAAATATTTTTTCTAACAATCAAATTGAGCAGTTTCAATTAAAAAAATAAAGTTGCGACTGATTCAATTATTTTGTTTGACAATTATTTATAATGAAAAATAATGCACAACTCTAATTTTGTAACAATAAAAAATTTCATGGTCATTATTTATATTAGAGATTTGAAATATGAATAATCTCCATATTTAAATTGTTTTAATTGTAAAAGGTGATGTATCAAATATTTAGATAGATTTATCACATATCATCCCCTACATTAATGATTTTTATTTTTTTATCAAATTTTTAATGTCTTTGTTTAAATTAGAGATTCAAAATATTTTAATCTCCATGTTTACATTGCTTTAATTTTAAGATGTGATGTATACAATATTTAGATAAATTTATCACATATCTCCTATAAATTAATTTTTTTTTTATAAATTGCAAAATACCAAATCCTAAAGTTATGGTTGCTTTAATTATTAAACGATATTTTGCAATCATAGATTCGGGTTATGGACATAATTAAATAATTATGATCCCTAAAATGAAAGATGTTATTCTATTAGAAAATACAAAAGTATAAATTTAAGATGTAGATTTATCATGCATGTCTGATAATACAATTTTACATGCTATGAAAGTCATATTATATACCTGTGCATCGCACAGAAATACGTACTAGTGATGTAATATACTACTACCTCCTATTCTTTTTAAATGTCATTTTAGTTTTATCAACTATTAACCAAATAAATGTCGTTTTAGATCTTTTGTACATGTTTTTCTATTATTACCCTCATTTGATCAATAAATACACTACGTCATTCTATATTCCTTCTTCATTTTTTCTCAAAACATTCATCTCTATCTTCATTAAATAGGATTATTACTGACAATAAAAATATTTTTATTTATTGTGCAACTTCTCAAAACGACATTTATTTTGAATAGGAGGGTGTACTTAATAACTTTGACTAAGCCATTACATGAACGGCCCGGTAATTTCCACCAGTTCCCTCTCGTCTTCAGATCTACCATATATTCTCAATTTCGTCCCGTTTCCTTCTCAGCAGATCTACCATATATAGGAGAATCTGAGATAATGAACCACTCAAGTTGCGAGAATTGAGTAACTTCTTTTATTCGAGCAGCAGATTGAACGAGCTAGCCAAGGAGAGTTCAGAATTCGCAGATCTGTATGTATGCATAATTGTATATAATTTTTTATTTTTATTTTATTTTATTTTTTTTTTTCAAATTTTGTAAGAAAAATATTGAATTTTCATAATTGCATAATCTAATTTCATAGAGAAATTGCATCTGTTGTTATCCTTTCAATTGGCTCACTTCTGATAAGAAAAAAAAATATATATATATATAAAAAGAGAGAGGTTGGGCATGGCGTCCGGCCTGGCCTGGTGCGGGCGAGGTCGGAGGTATTAAGATACCCGGGCCAATTACGATACCCGGGCCGACCTGGCCCATTGCCATACCTAATTATCAGTGATATGCATATAATAATTCATGGAAAGAATCAGAACCATATTGTAGGCATTTTGTTGTCATAATTTCGGAGTTCTAACCAAATGAAATGCTTAGTTGTTCTGAAAATTCAATTAATCAATAACTGATTTGAATTATTGTTTCGTAGTTCAACATTTACTCGTGGGGCTGGAGCTTGAAAAGTTGCTGTGTGACTATATTACTGGTATGTCCATTTAAAAATAAAAATTTTGATAGTATTATTTTTTCTCATTATGTGTATTTTTGTTTTCCTTCAATTCTTGCCAACATTTTAGTTTCATGTCTATCGAAAATCACGCTTCTAATGCTGTAAGTTCAAAACTGCTATTAGTTCTATTTGCCAGTTCAAATAATCTGTATATCACGATAGGTTTTCCCGGAAAATTTTAGTAAAAACTTAAGCAACTGGCAGTGAATAGTGATAATTGCTTGTGCTGGTATGTTTTTGCGTACTCCTACACGATATTGATAGATAATATGTTTGTTGCTAATAACAAGTATAGATAATTTTTGTAAACATGTGTTTCCTTTTGACATAAGCGAGTGTTTGGTATTTATTAGAGTTGCATACTTTATATAATGAGTTGATAGTAATATTTTTTTTTTTGTTTTTTTATTGTTCAAGGATATTATTCATAGTTGTAGAAAACAAAAGATGTCTTCATAGGCAACTTTTATCAAGTGGAAACAAAAAATGAAATAAAATTAATATAAAAAAATTGAATCAAGTGATGACTGATGATAGTATTCGCGATTATTATTATGATCCATCAACTTCTTTTAATATTCCAGAAAAAACTTATACCTTTTCCACTCGTTGAATCCAAATTTTGTTGGACATTGTTATGGAACAATAACTGCTACTTTTGTTATGTAAGATACTCAAGGCTATGAGCTCTGATGTCATTCTATTAGTGTGTGTTCAACACTATGTAAAAGAATATTATTATAGCTTATTAGTATGTACTACTTTTGTTGTGCATAAGATGTTATACATTGATTCTTTAGATGTATATAATTATGTACTTGTAGCATTTTTCATAATTCTAATTTAATGTTGTGCTCAAGTGTTTCAGAAATTTGGCATATTAATATGTAGGGAAATAATATTTTGCACTGAGCATACAAAATTTAAGTACAATTTGAAATAAAGAATAGTTCATCTGCGATGTATTCTTAATTTCTTATTAATTAAAAACCTTTCATATGAAGAAAAATATAAAATTATACATTAAGTGATATGGAAAAAACAAAAAAACTGCAACATAAAAGCATTACTAACAAAAAAGTGGGCCAGCCGTGCTATGCACAGCCTTTTGGCTCCTAGTAATGATTATACAATGATAATAATTAATTCAAAAAGTGATAATTTCTTCAAAACTCCCCCTTGACCCCTTCTCGACTGCTCCCATCTACATTACATTGATAATTGATTTCTTCTCTTCACCACTCACTTTTTGTCTTCTTCTCACCTGGGTTATTTTGTGCCATTTTAGTCGGGATTTATGAATCACCGTCTTGGCTTGACAGACCGTTGATTTGCAAGCTGTAAGCTTCTTGCTCACCTTGCTCATTTTTTCTTCTTTTCACATTAGTTTTAGGAGGTTTTGGTATCTTCTGATTTGGGGCTGTTGTTTGGCGGTTTTGCATTATTGCTGTCTGAATGCTGTTTCGGTTAATCTGGTTGATTTCCTGTTTCCTCTAGTTGATAGCATTCAGGACAGAGAGGATGGGGACTATATGTTTATCTATTTATACATTTTTTACAATCGTGCTTGTTTGAGAAGATTTTGGTTATGGTTGATGATTTGAATTAATGTCCAATATTGAGCTTGAGTTAGGTTTGCCATATATTGGATTATAGAAACTAATAGATTTTGGGAGATGTGTCTCCTTAAATGTGAGCAAAAGCACAATGAAATAGGTCAAACGTTATCGGGATGTAAAGATTGATGAACTAGAAGGTACTCATTGGGTAGTTTCTTGTGGCATGCTGTTTTCGTATGCATCAGTATTAACTTCCAACGAGGAATCTGTATTGCTATTAGAAGGTTCTAGTTCAATTGTACATCATCCCTTAACATGCATTAGAGTTCTTATTGTTCTGTAAGGGCAGTTCCTTGTAAATACTGATATATGTTATAAGACTCGTTAGTTGTTATTAAGTGAGCAGTTATGTCTGCTCTTAAGTTGGGTGGCTTATTTAATTAAAAAAGAAAATATGTGGCAAAAAAAAAAAAATGTTATGGACATGAATCAAACATACGGATTATG